CTCTCTCTCCCTCTCTCTTTCTCCCTCTCTCCCTCTCTCTCTCTCTCCCCCTCTCTCTCTCTCTCTCTCCCTCTCTCTCTCAGTTATCTTAATTTAAAAGGTTACGGTTATCATGAAGGGTTTGTCAGTAGGAGTCAAACCAGTATAATCCGTGTCAATTGTGTGGATTGTCTAGACAGGACCAACACTGCCCAGTTCATTATTGGTAAAGTGGCCCTCGGCTATCAGCTGTATCTATTAGGACTACTGGATGAGCCATACCTTCCTTTTGACTGTGATACCATGAGACTGTTTGAGGAGGCATATGAGGACCTGGGGGATAGTCAAGCTATACAGTATGGGGGATCAACACTGGTACATACAGTAGGCACACTGGTACATGTATATTGGTATACTGGTACATATACATTGGTATACTGGTACGTGTACATTGGTACGCTGTTACATGTACATTGGTATAGTGGTTTAGTGGTACAATGTATAACAGATAATATTGGCTAAGTGGTCTATAGCCATTGTACATGTACCTGTATAAAGGTGTCCTTATTATAGATGCTACACTGATTCATGATTATTATTAATTTATTATTCTTTTAGGATACAAACTTATCGTAAAGTGGCTCCGATGAAGAATCACTGACGAGACATATACACAAGCACTCTGAGGTACTATAGGAACGCATTCACTGGTAAGACTGGTAGTGGGTGGGGCTTTAATCCATGACCACACCCACTAGATGCTGAGATGCTGACAAGCAGATGGCTATTAACGTGTTCCTTGGAGTGTTTATACCAAAAGAAGGAGAAGCCAATGTATGGGAACTATCAACTGATTATTATCTACACCATAGGACAGCTAGGGAACCACAATCACCGAAACTGTTTGAGAGGTGGGTGGGGCAGTTTATGTACATGTACATGTATATGTATACATGTATTTGATAAAGTAACTGTACATGTACATGTATTTTTCTTAATAATTGGAGTATGATGTATTTATATTCACTTTTAGTCCTACCAAATGATGGAAAGATGAACTGATATCATCACTACCTTTACCACAATATGAAGGGCAAGGTTTCACACACACACACACACACACACACACACACACACACACTGAACTGATTCCGATCAAGTTTGGATTTTTTGCTAATTTTTAAAGTTGCTCCAAAATGGAGCAAAAGTCCCTGTACTATAGTATGCCCATATTTTTCAAAATTGGAAAGTGCAGCTATAATTTTCTGACACATGTACATGTACATGTTCACTGCATTGATGACATTAATTAATAGCTACATTATATTTCTAATTACTTGTAATATGTTTATCATTAAATATTATTTTTCTAGTTATTGCTAATACTGAAGATGATCCTAAAGAAGAAGAACCCACTCCTCCAGCAGTACCTCATATTAATAATGACACTACTGACAGAGACAGTTTTGATGAAATATACAAAACTTACGAACTAACTGACTTTGATAGACTCCTGAGCACATCTGTTGTAAGGACTGGAGAGTAAGTATATTTGTTGATATTTTTTTCTGTTTATTTTTGTTGTTGTTTACATGTTTTGTTTGTTTGTAGTAATGTTGTGTCTCTTGATAGTGAAGGTGGTGCTATTCAAGGTAATCCTTTTGTAGTGAGAGACAAAATGAAGAAGAAGGTGGGGTAAGGGAATAAATAAATAAGATAAAAAATAAATTAGTGAGCTTTTATGCAGTGTTTTATTGTTTAAATTTACTAATTTGCATTTGTTTTAAATAATTAAATTAAAAAATGGCTCCAAAATCACACATACATGTAATTGTTGATATGTTATGCTAATACAAAATACAGTGTGTGTGTGTGTGATCTATTGATTTATAATTGAGTATAGTTTTTAATTAATACATGTAAGGTATGTACGTAATTAAGTATAATTATGATAACTACCCACACATACACACATACTCACGCACACACACACACACATCAGGTTAATCACAATCTTACATGTTCATGAAACAGTATTATTAAGATTCTCTGCTACAACCTAAACCCACGTGACACCTGATGTACATGTACCTTACTATTAGTGATTTTGATATCATTAACTTAATTGTAATAAAATTACAAAATGGTTCAAATTTTGTCCCTTCACCTTACAATAACCTTTATTGTCGTTTCTCTCTCTCACCCTCTCTCTCTCTTTCTAAATCTCCAGTAGTTCCAAGATGGCTGCTAAAAGAGGATTAAGTGTTGGTATACAACAGACTGAGATATATGTACTCACAATTTGACAGATGATTATTTTATTGTGCGTTATATATGACTTTGATTATGTGTTCACCACTTTTTTGTGGTGGTTTGTGTGTTTTACCCCACGAGTGTGTAATTTGAATAATAAAATTGATAGCTAATAGTTAATGCTACCGTATGTCCTAGAACTGGAATTGTTGCTGATTTTCGGTGATAATAGCCACTGCTAAAATTAGCGTAGCTAATCCATTAGCATACTTGTGATAAATGTTCGTATATACTGCCATTAAAATCATTCTTATAATTGTTATTGTTTATCATTTGCTCAGTTTTCATTGTTTATTTTTCTGATGTTGAAATTATTTGTGATAACACAAGCTACAATGTACATTGCTACATTAAGTGAGTGTAGTGTGCGGGTATGTCAGGTGAAGTATGTATGATATGTTATTATTGAGTTAGTTTTTATTAATAGTGTAGACTGTAGAGGCTGTTTTCTGCAGGACATGTCATCAAGTAAGTACCTGTTCTCTTTCTCTCCCTAACTTTACTGCTCTGTATCCTCTGCTTATTATAACTATTCACTATATTACTGTGCCCTCTTGTTATCTATATAGTCTATCAACCAGTAGAGAGGAGGTTTCACTCGACAGTACAGGTAGGAAACTACCTGTACACATGGGGTGGGGCCCAGCCTGGTCTCCCTAAAGTACATAATAATAATAAGAAGAAATCAATGTGTTCTGTAGTGGAGGTCTGTCATGTACCAACTGGTGAGTGGGTACAAAAGCCTACCACTGGTGACCCTCCACTTGGTGTCAGTTTCTATGCTGCTGCTGTCATTAGAAATGAAATATTCTTTTTTGGAGGCTATTGTGGTCATTTTGGCTGTTTTCATAATAGTTTATACAGGTAAACAACATATTAATAGTTACTGATAAATATTATATAATATTTTATACAGTTTTAATGTTGATACCTTTGATTGGAAGGAACTCTCTCCTACTACACCTCATCATGGTCTTATGATGAAGGGCTACTGTGGCATGATAGCAATAAAAGTGAATGGCGAGGACTATCTTGCAGTAATTGGAGGATTTGGATCATCTTCTAACAATAGCCCACCACAACCTAGTGCCCAGTACAGTAAAGATGGTGATTATCAACGTTGCAATGAAGTACTTATGTACAGATTAAAAACTGGTCAGTATAATACCGTATTGCATGAAATTTTAGAAGGAAATAATTTTGGCAAATTTGGCATCTTGGTAGCCATTTACCGAAATAAAATCCACCATTTTGAGCCATTATACCGATGCTCAATGGCACATGGCCACTAATTCACCAAATTAAAATTTGACAATCACCAAATTTAGCAATTTGCCAAATTTTAGTGCCTCCAAAATTTCCGGCTATACGGTATGATATTAGGTTTATGAATGTAGTTTATACAGTAATTAAATTGATGTACTTATTATATATGTGTTTGTCATCATAATCCTCCTGGTTATATCTTAGTACCCAACTACCGTAACTGTAGCCTATATAGTGCTGGGCTTCCACCTTGATTGTAAGTACCAGTCTCCTCAGAGATTAACATACCCATTGACTTACTAGTCACTATCAACAGACTGAGGGGTTTCCTCTTAATTTAGAATTGGTGGAGTCAGACAGTTCAGTATTGAGAACTGGATGTGAAGGGTTAAAATGTTATTGAGGTATCCCAACTCTCCCTGTTCTGTCTGATCCACACTAGACTATGTTCTAATGTATCTATCTCTTGTGTTCTAATAGTTATAAAAATATAAATAATTATTTTAAAGTTTGTAATTAAATACTGTGTAAGGTTCTCCCCAGTCAGTGGTGTAATGTGGTTAAGGTTTTTTTTCTGCCCCATACCTCACTCCTTCTCTTGACAATGGTAACCTACTGTATCCATGGCTTTGTATAAAAATTTTGGTGAAGCTTCATTTTTCTAATGGTGAAAATTTCAAGTGCCAAATTTTTTCTCTGTTACATGTACACGTACAACCATTCGTCTAATATGATTAATTCACAGTGTGTGTGTGTTCATATTATTTTTATGATTTTTAGGGGAATGGACTTCACCAACTGTCACTGGAGACAAACTACCTCCTATTAATGACTTCACTTTAACATCAATAACTAATACCACTGCTATATTGTTTGGTGGTGAGACTGATAATAGATGGAGTAATGATGTATATGTATTTGAATTTACTGATACATCAGTGGTGAGTGTATTATCAGTATAATTACATAAATGACATGTATTTATTAATAGTGCATTGTACATATATGTGTGTATTATTATTGTGTATGTGTGTTTTAATTATGATAATTGAAATATTTTTTATTATTTTAGAAATATAGAAAGTTTCCTAATCCTGGAGGATCAGTACAATGGCCTAAGGAGAGACGTAGTCATTCCAATGTATTGATCAACTGTAGTTCAGGACCACACCTACTAGTGGTGGGTGGAAACCCTACCAACGACTGTTGGTTGTTAAATATAAACAAAATGGAATGGAAAGAACTGGTAAGTATTGTAATATAATTGTGGTGAGCATGAGTGAGTCCTACTAGTACAAGACCACTGTGATCTGTCTGTTTGTACATGTACCTTACTCCTCAATGATAATCAATTTAATACAGTAGGTCAGTATAGCTACAACTGGTCTGAGCTAGACATGTGCATACGATAAAGAAATGAAAGATTATGCTATGAGTAGTTTTTAAGAAAGAGTTCATGAAGCTTAATTGCCTTTGTTGTCATTTTTGTGAGTGTGATTGACAATGGAGGAGAAAGGAGGAGGAGAGAGAAATCATTTTTATTAACCAGATATATTATTTTATCATTATTTTAAATTCTATAGACTAATATACCAGACAGTGTCACTAACAGATATTGGCATTCTCTCTCAGTTTGGAATGAGACACAGACCACTCACTGGATAATTGAGTTTGGAGGAGAGAGAGATGATTCGTCAATCAGTGAAACAAGATTTATTGAAATCAGTGAGTACATGTATACATTAGTAGATACAATGTGTATTGAATATGTAATATCAATATTACAATAAAGAATGAGAGAGGGGTGTGGCTTTATGTATGATTGTACATGCCTAATAAAATTAATTGTGTCCACCAGATCCGTGTGAATGAGATGCATGATATTCATAGACTTTTTAACGATATTCATTTGGATACCGTAAATGAAAAAATTATTCTGGCTGCCCCCTTGTGAAAAATCCCAGCAAGATCTTGTTAAGTTTCTTTAAAATTTTTCACAAGATTCTTCCTAATATTACATAAGATTTTACCTGATTTTGAAACAAGGATCATGTAAGATAGCGTTAGATCTTGCTATCAAAATGTAAACAAGATCTTACAGGATCTTTCTCAAGATCTTACCAAATCCTTAGAAGATCACAGCAAGATCTTACTTTAAGATCACAGCAAGATCTTACCTGATTTTTAAACAAAGAACATGAAAGATATCATGGGATCTTGCTTTATCAAGATTTTAAAATATTAGCTAAGTTCTTAAATGAAGTTTCAGCTTATGACAAATGGATGTAACAGTAAGATCTGAGCAAGATCTTATATACATAAATGAATTATTTAATGATGTGATGGTTAATGTGAACTTAATTAACTTTTTTGACTTAATTATGTTGAAATTTTACTTTCTTTATATACTGCCACTATTGTAAAGACTATTGTGGGTTGTCTACCACTTCCTGTGACGTCATGCAATTTGTAAGATCTTTCAAGATCTTTTATGACTTAATGAGTGATCTTATGTGTCGTGTGATCATGGATGATTCTTCAAGATCATAAACTTATTAGATTTTGTAAGATCTTATTAGATTTCAATTTAACAAGATCATCTTAGTTCTTACAAGGTGTGATATTACAAGATTTAAGTGAGGCATGATCTTACATTTTCTGACATATTACTTAATTCATAAGATCTTTAAAATTCTTACAAGCATTATAGTTATGATAGATCTCAGAAGATCTGACAAAACTGTTCAAATCTTATCAAATCTTAAATAAGAATTTGTAAGAATTTCTGTGTTAAGGTTTTACAAGATTACTATCTTATGTTTTCTTGTATAATCATGTGAAATCACGAAAAACCTTATAAGATCTTGCTGGGATTTTTTACAACTTACAAGGACCATGTTGGGGGTATACTTAGTATAGTCTTCAATGGAGAAAAGGTGTTATTTTACCATTTTTCTAGCAGAGCAAAGGGGCTGCATCCAGAGAGAAAAGATTCCAAACTTAATCTCCATTTCTGTACCACTGCAACAATTATGAGCCTCTAAGAAACGTAGAAAAGTAGATAAGGCAGATTTCAGCCTTTTGGCCCATTGGTTATTGGATGTATAGTTCATACCCCCAAGATGGCAGCCAAGAAATTCTGTTGTTTTTACGGTATCTTTATGAATATCATTAATCTAGTCAATGGGGATCTGGTGGAGTGTGAATTCTACTAAGGTTTCAATTTTGAAAGTGTGTGTATTTGTGGTTTGGACAACTTTTAGCCACACCCACTCTTAATTAACTATATAACATATTATTATTATTATTATTTATATTAGTATCTAGTACTGGTGATTTGGTAGTACAGTCAGTACTGGACATTAATGAATATCAGAAGAGAAAAATACAAGGTATTAACGCATATATGTACATGTATATGTACATAAACCAAACACATGTTTCACTTATATGAGGTACGCTCATGCTTTGCTGGCCAATGTATAATTCTATTTCATGTATTAGTAGCTAATGAGATTCCTAACCCATCTATTGTTTCGATAAAACCTTTCCACAATCATAACAGATTCCATTGTAGTACAGCAATCATAAGTACATACACACAATCAGTAATGGTTAGGTAATACACTCACTAATTATAACACACACTAATCTAATAATGTAATAGACCTCTTTGTGTATACACAACACAGTTCCTGCTATGTTTATTAATTATGCTATTTCATTATATTATATAGATGCTGTAGGG